TTGAGTAAAAGAAATGTATCACAAATTATTAATTTCAGGTGGCCTCAAGCTTGTGCCGAAATAATTACTTATAAAATACCAAAACAAAATTTAACAACCATGCAGCCACAACCTCAGCAAATAATGCAAATTGAAAGGAATGGTCAACAGAGTCAAACAGTGATTAAATTGTTATCATCATTCTTATCACTAATTATCTATTTCATATTAGAATAAAATGTTACTAATAATTCTAATATGTTCCAAAAAAAAAAAGAAAAAATTATTTAAAATTAAATAATTTTTTTATTTCTAAAAAATTTAATTACAAATCATTTGTGAAGAAAAAAAAGCAAATTTAGCTGTTATCAATTAAATGATAATCCATCAAATATTTTTTTTTGATAGGAATATATTATCAAATAAACAAACACATTTACTATAATCAATTTAATAGTGCATTATTACATTTTACAATCTTAAAACATTTAATTTTATAATTTTCCCCAAATATTCTAAAAATTTGAAAAAATTACAGAAAAAAAAATTTTTAAATTTAACAAAATTCATACTTTATTATAATAAACTATCATTTGTTAAAAAAAATTACTTTCAGCTCATATTTAATGTTTTAAAATATTTTTTTGTATCATATATGACATATTTAAATGTGCAATAAATAAATTATGCAGTAAATATTGATTGTTTATTTTTTTAAATATTTAAATTGATAATTTTCTGATGCATTTAACATATATTTATATAAATATTAATTTTAATCTTTGTTAGCTTTTCCTTTTAACAATTTTTTCTTTTCGACTATTTACTATGAATGCATGAATAAAAAAAAAAACTATTTTTTATTGATTTTAAAATTGATTAAAATTTAAAATAACATCACGAATGGATCGCACTTTTTTCTTCTCAAATTGTAAAATCAATTAACCATTAAAAATATTATAGCTAAGTATCAAACTAGATTCTTTGTGTTCAATTTCAAAAATAAACAAACAAACAAATAAACAAACAAATAGATGTTTACCTTGTTAATGTTATATTTATACCAATTTATTTTTTGCTTTTTTCCTTTTACATTTTTATTTGGAAATGCAATGAAAAGTTATTTGTTGTTATATAAAAAATTTAATAGATGAAAGTTTTGCAAATAAGAAAAAAAATGATTTTTTTAAAAAATTGCTTTCATTTTTTTAATTCATTTTGTTTCTAATCGTTTTTTCTTTTTTTCTTTTTTTTTTTAACTATTCCAAGTTGAATGTTTTATGAATTTATGATTATAATCAAAATTAATGTTAGTGAAAGAAAATTAATGGATATTTGACACTTTTAAAATGTTGTCATCCTGCTAATAACATTGTCAAACAAATCGAACAAAGAAAGTTTTGTTTACAATTATAGCTTAAGCATTATTTATATGTGAAATAATTCATATAAAATTATGCAACTGCTAAAATTTGCAACATTTTTCAAATTTTTATTCCATCCCTTTATTGATGAGAGTATTTTAATCAAATTAACAATTTGAAAATCGAAATAAGTATTGATTAGATGAAGATGAAATGATTGTAAAATAATGATTACCCGAAGTTAAAATGATTGTAAAATAATGTTTACCCGAAGTTAAAATGATTGTAAAACGTAATTTTACAATCATTATAATGGTATAATGATAGATATAAAAGTTATCAGTGTAAATCAAGATTCAACTGATAATGAAAAAAGAAAATGTACACGAAAAATTCATACATAAAATAAAGATAAGTGATATTTTTGATTTATTTTTGAAAGTGATAAAGTCAAAAATTAAAAAAAGTATTATCAGTTGAAAATAAATTGAAAATAAAATGTGTCACATAAAAATTACTCATGTATATCGTGAAAAAAATAAATTTTTTTTTTATAAAAATCAAAAAAAGAACTAAAATTCAATTTGATTGCTAAATTTTCATCTTTTGTCCTTGTCCTTTGTGATAAAATTCATTTCAAAAATTTTTCAAGGTTGCTAAAATTTGTAAATTTTAAAGAATGATAGTATTTCTGCTATACTTTCTTTATATGTTTGATACGCTCAGTTAAACATTACTCATTTTTGCATAAAAATTTCAAAGAAATAAATATTCGTTTTTTGCTATTTTTTTTTCATTTTTTTTTTTTTGCATCAAAAAGTAAATCAAAAAAAAAAAATAAAATTACGACTTCAAAAAATACTTTTTTGTGAATATTTCAAAAAAATTTTTTTTTTCATACTTAAAATTATAAATTTAAAACTAAAAGTTGAAAAAAATTTGTAAATTTTTTTTAACTTTTTATTTAAAAAACAAAAAGTTAGTAAATGCTAAATATTCATTTAGAAAATTTTTCGATTCATAAAATTATATAAAATGTAATTTATATATGCATTTTTTTATCAATCAATGAAAAAAAAAATCATTTATAAATTATTTTAATTATTGTTTTTAAAAATTTTTCTAAATTAAGGCAATAATACGATCAAATATTTCTGATTTAATGTCAAATACAACAATTTTAATTTGTTTATTTGTATAAATACAAGAATTAAGTCAAATCAAATTGTCTTCTCCAATAGAAATAATTCAAATACCCGTTTAGACAGTGTATTTTAGCATTTAGTAATGTAAGTAGTACTAGTAGGAGTTGCAGTAGTAATAGCACAATTTTGAAAGTTTAAGTTTAGACGATGGACACGAATTCAATCGTCCATTTGAGAATTTAAATTTTGTAAGCTCTCTCTCTCTCCCTCTCTCTCTCTCTCTCATCCATTTCAATATTCACCTGGTATAAGTCGTGTTTTAGATATGGATTATTTTATATGGCTAATATGTAAAATTTGATAATTTTAAAATTTAAAAAAAATTTTTTTTAAGTTTCTTTTTTTTATTTCTTACTAAAATTTTTACATCTTTTTTTTCTTTACTTCTTATGAAATAAATTATTTCATTATTCAAAAAAAAAAAATTAAACGGAGAGATTATAATGATTAAATTTTTTTTTGCAGATCTGAAAAGTTTTTTTTTTAGTTTTGAATTTCAGATTTTTAGCAATAATTTTAGTTTGAAAATATTTTCAGGTGAATTAATTTTGAATATCTGTTAGTTTTGTTATTAAACTAAGTGAAAAATTTTGCAAATTTTTACTTTTTTACTTCTTTTTTTTAATTTCTGATAATAAAAAGGTTTCATTTTTTTCTGTTTTTAAAATTTTTTTTTAGTTCGAAAAAGTTCTTTTTTTAATTGAAGCATTTTTTTTTATTCAATTTTTTAATTTTAATTTAATTTAATTGAATTTTTTTTTAAATCTAATATAGTAAAGGTTTATTGTATGCAGCCTCTTTTTTTTTTTAACAATCTATTTTTTTTTTTTATAATCTATGTCACGGAAAAAGTTACCAGGTATGAATTCCGGATTCACGGCTCACTGTTTATTATATCTCATATTCGGTTTCCTGAATATTTCCGCTGAAACGGTTTGCTTTATTTGTTGCATTAATTTGATTTCTTTTAATAATTAGCAATTTCAATTATAATTTTTAATTCTAGCTCACACAAAATACATTTTTACATTTGAAATTATGACTTTTCGTTAAAAAATTATTTATGGATATACGTTCCTTTTTTTTTTTACACGTGGAATCATTATTGTGCGTAAGATTACGTAAGTATGTGATTAGCAATATATATTCAAATTTTATTAACTGCCAGCTCAGGTATAATTTTATTGTAATTTATCAAAAATTTAATTAAAAATTTATTTAACAAATACATTTCTGAATTTTTGTAATAATGTAAGAGGCAAAGTGTAGTGTGGAAAATATACTAAAATCGATAATTTTAAATTGAAAATTTAGTTGGAAGTAAGTTTGTAACAGATTAAAATAGTTACTCAATTATACTAATGAATAATTCAAATACTAAATATTTGATTAATATGAAATACGAATACTAAATTTAATTATACTAATGAATTCAAATATAATACTAAATGAATGAGTCAAAATTTTGATTGTATAAGTTGAAGAATATATTAAAAGTTTTTAAATTTATAGCAAATCAAAACAATTTGTTTTATTATACTAATAAATTATTCAAATACTAAATAACTGATTCAAATTCTAATGAATGAATTGTGAATTTAATAAATGAATTTCAAAAAGTCATTCAAGTTATGCAAAAAAATATTTTTGTAAAGTTAATTTTGGATTTATTTTATCATACTAATGAATGAATGAATTAGTAAATGAATGATTCAAATATCAAATGAATGACTTAAATTCTAGTTAATAAATTAAAAAAAAAATTTTGAAATTTTTTTTTTTAAAATTATACAAGAAATTATCGGTTTATTTTCTCAGCGACTTGTTATTTACGTATGAGCAAATGTTTATTTATTTAACCTGAAATGAGATCGTGATTAAGTCAACGAAAAGTATATTTGCATAGCACAGCAAGTAACATTGCATAACTGACCGATTGAATCATAGTGATGTTAAAACTTTTTAAATTTAAACTAAGCAAAATTTTACGATGTATCAAATTAATTTTTTAGTTATTCCAAAATCAAATGCTATAAATTTTCTTTTCCTTCTTTTTTTTCCAAAAAATGAAAAAACTTTTTTTAAATTTAAATCTAATTACATTTACAAAATTTTTCAATTCATTGAGTAAAAAAAAAAAAGAAAATTTAATTTTTTATAGTTTTTTTATCATTTTTAAAATTAATTTTTTGAAAGTGAAATCTTATAAAAGCAAAACTTATTTAGATTGTAGTGATGAAATTTTAAAAATTAATAAAGTTCATACAATCTTACAATGAAAAAATGTTAAAGTAAAACCTTATTGTAAATTACTTTTGTAGTTACTAAATATTAATTAATTTAATTTAATTTTTTTTTTTAATTTCCTTTCATTAATTTTGTTTAAGATTATTTATGCTTATAGAATGCGATAAAATTTATTAGTAGAGCAAAGCGACAATGCTGCATGCAAATGTCTGCATGCTGTGGATTGCAACAACAACAACAACAACAACAACAACAACCGATACCAGTGGTACCATTGATCACACCGTATCCGTTGCAACCAATAATACCTGTGGTGCAACAAGAAAAACAATGCAATTGTATTAATTTACTAGCACAAGTTTGTTCATTTATTAAACTCAATTATTTTATTATATTATAGTAAATAATTATTTGTAATAGTAAATTTAAATTTAAGTTTCCTAAACATTAAATTATCGATTCAATAACTTTTATCTGAAAGAGAATAATATTAATTATAAGTAAAAAAATAATTGAATTAATAAAATTAAGTACTCAAATATGATTCTAACTTCAGTTTTAGGAAATGAAAGATCTAAACTTAAAATAGGATTACAAAATTATTCTCATATATTCTTTTGCTAAATTTTTTTTTTTAGGAAAATTTTCTAATTTTAGGTGAAATCATGTGACTGTGCAAATATCCAGGTAAATCAATGCGGTTGCACACCAGTTGCACGCTCAAATTGCAATTGTGCTGCACTGCATGAGCAGTATATGAATTGTGGTTGTGAATCACTTCATTATAATGTAATTAAAATAATTTTTTCTTATCATTTTATTTATTAATTAATTTCATTAAACAAATGAAATTTATGCTTTAGGAAGAGAATTGTGCTTATAATTCAGTTCAGTTTTATTCTTATCATTATCAGCATTTTATCATTACAATCATTATTTATCATTCTATTAGAATCGTTATTTTTCCATTGCTATAATATAATCAGCGTAATTTATAAGACATCTTAAGCTAGAATTTGCAAAAATTAGTTAATTTAATTAAAAAAAAGTTAGTTAATAAAAAAGTTAAATTAAATTTTTGCTCTTCATTGATTCAACACTAAAATTGTTTTGGATAATTGATAATCATTTAACAGTTGTTTTTTTTTTTTTTTTTGTTGTATTCGATAATTTCATTTTTTTTATTTTGATTATGAAAATTTTTAAAATCTTTTACAATTGTAATACTTAATAATTTAATTGCAGATAACTTGTAACTGTCCACAGCAAAGGATACATTGTATGCCTTCATGTATGCCTGATTGTTCACAAGAATGTATTAATCGAGAAATGATTAATCAAGTCATCTTTAATACCCAATATCAACAACCACCACAACAACAACACCAAATTGAGGTAATGCAAAAAAAGGATATCGAATAATTTGTTAGAATAAATTTCAAATCTTTAATAATATTATTTTTTTAATTAAATTAAAACAGAGAATAATAATATGACAGAAAAGATGTTCAGTGATTCTTTTTTGTTTTTGTTTTTTTTTTATAATAATTCATATTTGAACTTATTGCAGTGCATTGCATTTTGCATGCCATTATGTGAGCCGCAATGTGTGAAAATGTTCGAATCAAATCAGATGCAAACTTATTTGCAACCTGTCATTATGCAATCACAATCTCAACCATCAATTTTTGCAATGCCACCTGAATTTTCCTATAATCTACAAACCAAAAAACAGTTACCATTTGGTGTGATACCTTCGCAAGGTCAATCTGCTTTACCCTTCCCAACACAACCTTGCCCATCATCTAACTGTGAATCAAATTGTCCAACTCAGTGTAGCAATCGAAATTGCTGCAAAATGTGTCAAAACATGCCATCATGCAGTCAGTCTACTGCTATTTCACACAATCAACAATCGCCATTTTCAGTACAAATTCAACAACCACGTTGCGTGACAATTTGCATGCCATCCTGTGAACCGCAATGCATTCAACAAGCTTGTCCACCTGCTTGTCAACCTATGTGCGAGTCACAGTGCATGCAGAAAGTACTCAATCAAGTAATACTGCTTGCGCAGCAACAGTCACAACCATCTCAGATGTCATCACAACTACAACCACAACTCTTTCATCCTCAATCTGAATCGATTAAATCATCGACACAAATACTACGACCACCACCGCTTCCTCAAACTCATTGTGTACCACAATGTATGCCTCAATGTTTGCAAGAATGTATACAGCAAGTTTGTGTTGCAGCATGCAAACCTGCTTGTTTACCAGAATGCATAGAGCAGCAACAGAAGAAAGTTTTCCTTGTCACAAAGCATCAACAACAACAACAATGTGTAGCACAATGTCAACCGGAATGTCAACCGACATGTGTAGAAAAAGCTTGCGTATTAGCTTGTCAACCGATGTGTGACCCTCAATGTACACAACAACAGAAACCACTTGTGGTAACAACCGAAGCACATCAACCGGAAACATCATCTGCCAGCGTATGCTTATCATCATGTATGCCAGATTGTTTGCCAGATTGTTTACAAAAACAGCAACAGATACAGCTGCAAACACATAAATTCCATCCGCATTGCCCACAAATATGTCAACCGGCCTGCAATCAACAATGTTTAGAACAACAACAACAAATTTGCTCTAAAACTTGCTTACCATCATGTCAATCATCGTGCAAAAATAATGCACGCTGTGTGCAAGAATGTAGCGCAAATTGTGAACATTCCTGCATAGAACAAATTCCGCAAGCGGTATCTTCAATTAAGCAGCATTCACCGGAATATAAAATACAAGGATGCGGTTTGGATTGTAAGGTATATGAACTCTTCTATAGAATATTCCAATTTCTACAATTTATATTCATTTATTCATTAATTTTTTTTCATTATTATAAAGTACTTCGACCGGAAACATCAACCAACTACCGTATGTTAAATTTATGTATTTAATTATTGATTACAGGCTACGGAACCATTCCGTTGCGTACCGCAATGTCAGCCAACATGCATGAAATCATGCATCGAACAGCAAACATCCGGTCAATATCAACAACTGAAGCCATTAAATGATTGCATGCAACAGCAATCTGATGGATGTTCTTGCGCAATCGGTTATACGCCTTGCTCGCAAAATAATAATTGTTGCCTAAGGCGACGACGTCATATTGTCTTGCAAAAACAATAGTTTAGCATGCATTACATACTGCAATTATAATAATTAAATTTGTTTGAAAAAAACTTTAAATCACATCCACCGCATTTTGTTTAATTAATCGTCTCAATATTTTAAATTAATTAAAGTAGCTTTTTTGCTACATGTAATTCTATGCAAATATCCAAAAATTTGCTTATCAGTAATGAGATTATTTGTTAATTTATTATTGTTTCATATTAGTTTTATTTCATTTTTTAAATTTTTACTGAAAATATTTTATTCAAACTTTTATTCTACTTGCTATTTCATTACAATGTTATTTAAATAGCTTTTCGACTATTTCAAACTATAAAATAAGTAAAAAATTTTACCTTCTTATTGATGAGTGAAAGTTTTGATGAAAATGTTTTTTGAATATTTCAATTATATTATTACCTTCAGATTCTTCTAATGTCACGTACGTAAGACTTCTGTTACGTATGATACTTAAAGTTCATCTTTGTTTTACCGAATGTTTTGTGATCATTTTTTGATTTTGTTTACAAATTCTTATAAACAACATATATGAATTGCCTCTATGCAAGGTAATAAAAAAAAAATACATTTTATTTGTTTTCATGAAATTTTAAAATTCATACATACATATACAATCACTGTTGTTATTTCCTTTTTTTTCATTAAATAAATTTTTCATTTGAAATTAAATCTTTTCGCTATAATCTTTCAAAAAAATTACAAATTACAATATTATCTATAAATTCAAATTATAGACGTACTCATAATTTAAATAAAATTTTTGAAATATTAGGCAAATAGTAAAAGCAAGATTAAGAATATCGCATGGATTTTTTTTATAGACTTTAAATAGATAATACCTAAATTATTTTCTAGATTTTTTTTCTGCATTTTCAAAATTTGTTCCAAATATTTTGTTTATTATTATTACTTTTTTAAATGCTGAAAAATTTTTCATTTCAAATACAGATATTGAGAAAAAGAATTAGATCAAAAAGAAGCACATTATTATTAGAATTAACTTCATAAATAGCTGGAATGAAAGCAATTTTTTTATAAAGCAAGCATTCTCCATGATCACTGGTTGAAAATTTAGATTTCAGGATAATTGCCTCAACTACAACGAGAAAATCAATATGAATCAATTTGCAATTTCAAATTTGCACAAAATTTTAATAATTTGTAAGTAAAAGTTCTTGATCACTATATAAAATAACAATCTGAGTAAAATGTTTAGTAATATTTCACTTACATTATTAAGTCAACCTGAAAAGAGTGCATTTGCAAACAAATTTTTATCACAACAATCAAAGAATAAAAAAAAAAAACTGAAAACAAATCTAAGTTCATTAACTGTTTAACATCAAATTGTATTATACATAGATGTGAAATTAGATTTGTTTGAGAATTTTAAAATTAAAAATTTTATAACTGTTCAATTTCTGATTAACTTATTATCAATTATTAAATTAAATACAATTGAAAAACTTAGTCAAAACTGTACAAATTTGCAACAAAAATTTAGCGATTAAATGAATAATTAATTTGTTAACTTCCGTCCTTCACTTCACTAAACAATAAATAATTTAAATGAGAATTTCAATAATTTAAATTAATTATGAAAGAAACAATTTAAAAGAAAAAAAAAATGATAGTGAAAAGGACCGGGAATGTTTTGATTTGTCAAACGATCTTTTATGGAAATCCATTTCAGAATGTTGATTTTGTAATAACTGATGAATGCTTCTTCTCATGTACGGTACCATTTGTCATCATTGGTGGTATGTCACCATTCCATGTAAATGGACGAAAGTGTCGAGTTTTCCGGCGATCATAGCAACGTTTCAATCGAGCGCAATTCATGTAAATGATAGCTGCAAGCAGAAAGACCTGAAAAAAAAGAAAGAAATAAATTTAAGACTTCATTATAACCTTTTCATTTACATCTACTTTCCTTCTGATCTTTTTGTCACCCTATAAAAGTTTTTTGTCACTCTTACTTTACTAAAAAAAGTATTTGACTGATTTTAGATCACTGACCAATAAGACAATCAGAATTATTGGTACAATAACAAATGCCATTTTTGTTATTTGCTTCTGTTCATTGGAAACTATATTTCTCATAAGATCACGTTCAAATTGTATTCCATTTAAATGAAATATCTGAAATTGATTTTAAAATCAAAAACAAAAAAAATATTTCAAAATCTTTGAAATTTTTTCTTGAATATTATTAAACAAAACTGTTTCTACAAAAAAAAAAAAAATTCTATAGAGCAAGAAAAATTGCTTCTGAATTCTTAAAAACTAATACGATTGCAAATTAATATAAACAACAAATATCTACATCACTAAAGAATTAGTTTCAAATTCAATACCAATTTTAAATTTAAAATAAAATGTATTTCTGACAATTAAGTGTACGTAGTTCAAACAGTTAGAAGAAATTAATCATTGCTTTTGATCTTGCATAATATACATTTAATATCATTATGACCTTTATGATATAAAGTACTGATATCAAATATGTCCCTTATGACAGCAAAGGACATATTGATATCATACACTGATATCAGCATCTCCTTCATGATACAAAATATGTTGTGATAACATTAATCACATCGTGCTTATTATGTATGCGTCATAACGATTACTGTACATAGTCTAAAATGATATCATAGTAATCTTATAATGGCTACTATAATAGCTTTAAGCAATATCGTAGTAACTCCGCGATGACTACTGTATGTAGTGGTCACTGTAAGGAATCTAAAATTGTGCCAAAGTAATAATTACTGTACATAGTTTAAGTCGCTACAGTTTTAGTAGTCCCATAGCTTTTACTGTACATAGTTTAAGTCGCTACAGTAGTAATCTCATAGCTTTTATTGTACATAGTTTAAGTCGCTGCAGTAGTAATCCCATAGCTTTTACTGTACGTAGTTTAAGTCGCTACAGTAGTAATCCATAGCTTTACAGTACATAGTTTAAGTCGCTACAGTAGTAATCCATAGCTTTTACTGTACATAATTTTAAACAATGCATAAAAGAGTGATGCATTTATATTGGATTATCACATTATGCTTACATCAGTATTACTAACACTTTTAACACTTACCGATTGACCAGTGCCTCGGGTCCAATCTACAGCGAAAGGATTTTGAATTTCAGAATTATTAAATGCACAAATGCGTAAACCATATTGATGAGTTAATGGTTCAATGGTCTGATTTGTATAAAATGAATAGGGTGCTGTTAAAAATAGTCCACTTTGTAAAATTTTCTGCAAATGTGTTAAATTTTTAAATGTATCGATGAACAAATATAATAAGTGAAACATTTTTGGCAAAAAGTATCCAAAATGAAAAATTTGTTTTTTTTACAAAAAAAAAGGAGAAAAAAATTGAGTTAAAAAAAATATTGTTGACTAACATTAGTTCGAATAACTACTTTATTGCTCTTTTCATTTCGCTCATCAAAAATGACCTCACTGGATGAAATTTGTCCTTTCATAATATACTTTATATGTCCAAATTCCAAAAATATTCGATCATAATTTGTATGCATTTTAATTTCATCGTAAATCTGTGAATAATATACCAATAAATTCTTCTGTTATTTTTTACTATTAATAAATTCTTTTTTCTTAGAAATTTACTAAAAAAAATATTTTTTGTAAAATTTCATGTTATTAAATAAAGAACAAAAGTTGCACTACAAATTAGCTAGGTTTGCTTTTTTTTTTCTCCAATAAATTACTGCTTGTTTAGAAAGTTTATGAATTTTATTGTGGATTCAATTAATGCCATCAATGAGAAAAAGTTATCTCATAAAAAAAAAATCATCACAACTCTATGAAAAAAAAAAGAATATGAAAATTCCTAATTAATTAATCAAAAGAAAATATTAAATAAATGTTATCTAAACCGTTCTTCAATGAAATTTAAACATGAAAAGATTTTACCAAACCTTTTTACTTTGAATTTGCAATGTATGTATCCATGGATTCCAATTAGCTTTTACATCAGTGGTTGAAAGACATACGAATGGTGGCCTATCACTTGATTGCGATAAACAGGCACCATTATCCATAAGGACACGAGTGCCTTGAGGACAATTGCATCTTAAAAAAAAAAAAAATTAAATAGTAAAATTTAATTTTTTTTCTCACAAATTAACTTTGCATTAATTTTTGAAAATTTTTGTTCATTTCTCAGCCTCAAAAAACTGTGCTAGTTTATATGCTTGTCCAGATTGAAAATCTTCATAACTAGCCATTTTAAATGTTAAAAAAATTTAATTGCGCAAAAATACATAACAAAAATTATTTCAATCCAAAATTTCCTCTAAAAAATAATTCTCACATGTAATTAAAATTTGTCACATTTTGTCATATTCAATATATTCCAAAGTTATGAAAATATCAAATGATACAAGAATGGATTAATTAATTTTAAATATTAGATATTTTGGTTATTTAAATAAAACTTTAGAAATGATTATTTGATAATTCAGGTGATAACCATTAATCAAACTTCAAATTTCTATGACTGCTTACTTAGTTTGATCGATGCAACCAAATTCACAAATGACACCATTAAAAAGAATGCATGAAGTTAGATTAGATTGTAATTTTTCCTTATTTGGCGCAGTTGCAGTTTGAGATTGTTGAGCAAATGTTGACAGTGTGGATAATGTTGACAATGTTGACACTCTAAAATGATAGAAAGTTTGTTTAATGCTTAAAAAGCTGCTCCAATTAACTTTCACTAGTAAATTACATACTATATTAGTTATTATAAAGAAACATAAAGTAAAGAAAGCATACTTACTCGATTGCGCTTCTTAAATTTGATATGACAGAAGCGCTTTGACTACTATGCAAAGTTGTCGTTTCTTTTGCTTCGTTTTCATTGATGGAAAATTCATCTGCTGACTGTTCTATGATCTGTGCTTCAGATTCTGTCCTGTATTTTTGATTATTAAAAGATTAAATTTCATTTTTGAATCTAAAC